AGTTCAATTCCTCAGAACCCACTCTAGGAGACACAGCAGACTCCATACCAAAGGATGGCCTCTGCTCCACACACACACCGTGGTACACTGGGTATTTCTCTGTCTCTCTCTCTCTTTCAGTAATAGCAATAAATAAGTTGATACTTCTTTAAAAAAGAGCTGCAGAGAGCTTCCAGAAGCAGAGACTATATAGGGAATCAGAACAGCAAAGGTCTGAGGATGAACTGAGAGGGTGAAGTCTACAGACAGCTGAGAGGTGGTAGAAAATGAGAATCTGGGGAGCTAAGAGACTGCAGGAAGCAAAGAGCTGGTGAGGCAGAAGGACATCAGATGAGGTGGGAAGTACAGCCAGCCCTCGGCAGCGGCATGGCTCCACAGAGTCACTGGCAGGTGCTGGGCTGCTGGCACTTAAAGCCCCAAGACTAAGAGCCAAGAACCACCGGCACTCAAAGCTCAGAATTCCTGAGACCCAGAGAGCTGCTGTTTACAGCCAAAGAGCCCTGCCGGTCACCTCTTCACTCGAGTTCCCTGACGCAGCGCGTTCACGTCCTGTAAGTGCACACACTTCTCAGAACGCCTCTCAGTGGTGCTAATAACAACAGCGGTCAGCTCACACCTCTGCCCATTGTTGATTTCCCACAAAGTGATTCCACATTGTGTATGAATAGATTAGCCTGGAACACCATACTATGACTTCCTCAGGCCAGACGTGGTGATGACGCCCACAGAACTCAGCAGCAGAGACCATTTCTGCGGCTCAGTGATGCCTACACCCTGGAGCAGGGCACTTGGCCAATGATGTCTACACGCCGCAGGATATTGGTCAGTGTTGTGTACACCCTCAATCAGGGCACTTGACACAGTGATGTTTACACTGTGCAAGACACTAATGTCTACACCCTGAAGCAGGGTGCTTACTCAGTGATGTCTACACCTGTTGGGGAAACAACCTTTTTATGTACTGTTAAGATCTGTCACTCATATCAGTTTAATAAAAAGCTGAACAGCCAATAGCTAGGTAGGATTTTCGGGGCAGAGAGGATGCTGGGAAGAAGAAGGGCAGACACCAGCCAGAGACAGAGGAAGCAGGAAAGCAGCACGGGCAGAACAGAATGAAGGTAATAAATCCATAAGGCAGAAAGTAAATGAAGAGAAATGGGTTAAGTTGTAAGAGCCAGTTAGTAACAAGTCTAAGCTATCAGCCGAGCTTTTATAATTAATAAGAAGTCTCCATGTGTTTATTTGTGGGTTGGCTGGTGGGATAGAAAAATCTGCCTATAAATGGGGTCCAACATCCAGCCACATATATTCTCATGAGACCTGAGAAAGCTCTAGAAGAAGGTCTAAACACAATACGGAGTCAAACACGGTGTCCTAGCCTCATATCTCCCATGCGGCTGCAGTACAAAGACACATCTCCCTGCATGCTCGAGCTGCCAGGACGCCACGAGCTAAGCCACATCGCAGGTTTAGGGTTTTGCTCGTGCAGACAGAAAAGATTACAGATGCACAGTAAAGCAGGTTCAGATGGAAAAAAATACCTCTAAACATGTTGTGGTGTGTTTAACAATGTGTGTAGGCTTAAGGAAAAAAAATGGATATAGAAAGTCATAGAAAAATGAAATAGTTTAAAAATAACGTCTTTAAAGAGAGTAAAGTAATATAAAAAGCAGCAAGCAGAACTGTGGACTGTAGACTGCCTACCACACACAGAGCCAAGGACAAAAGAGACATTTTAATAAGTGAAGTTCAGTTCATGGAAATGCAGAGGCTTCTCACTAAGAGCCGTGCTTCAAATTTTGGCCCTCATGTCTCAGATAAAAATTTTTCAAAATTAACTGGAAGATTTTTACATTTTATTACCAGTTTTTACTTATTTTTTGAGGCCGTTTCATGCAGCCTGGGCTGGTCTCAAATTCTCTAGGCAAGGGCGGCCTTAAACATCTGATCCTCCCGTCTCTACCTTTCAAGTATTACAAGCATGTGGCACCATGCCTGTTCCTCGTGTAACTGGGAATTAAACCCAGTACTTTGTGGACGCTAGGCAAGTACTCTATGAAGTGAGCTACCTGAGTCAGTGGGATCTGAATAGCAGGGTGTAGCTACAGTCTCACAAATGCCTCTTCACACTCTTCACACCTCCGTGCGGTCCCCAGTGCCTGGCAGTCCCACCTCCCTCATTTATGCAGCAAGCTGGGCCCCTGTGCAGACTGAGGATGCTAAGTGAACAACCCGGGTGTCCACTCTCCAGGACACCCACACAGGCACCCCAGGTCACACCAGTAAGGAAGGTAGCTCAATAACTCATTCTGGAAATGCCTCCTGCTTTCCTTCATTGCTTAGTGTTGGTATTAACTAATGTTAACATTGATTAATTAGCTTTAAAAAAAAATAGTCTCACTATCTAGCTCTGGCTGACATAAAACTGGTGATCCTCCTGCCTCAACCTTCAGAGTGACACTACTTTAATACCCTAGGAAATAGATCTAGGAAAAAAGTGAGCATGCCCCCTCCCCCTGCGCTCGCAGTCCTAACATGTGTGGACAAGAGGGACCTGCACATAAACGCCTGCATTTTCTCTCAGATATGACTTAGCTAAGCCTAGCCCAGGCCATTCATCGGTACATACACAGAAAGGAAAGTGAGAGAAAAATCCCCACACTCTATAACTTAAAGGAACACTTTGCATGAGTTATTTAAAAAGTAGAAAAACAAACAAAAACTTGTGGTTTTGAACACATACTGAAGTCCCTAGGGTTTGGCCTTCCTTTGAAAGGTTGGAATCTGTTTTCTTCATGCTGGGCTCGCGCCAGCTCCAAAGTTCTGGGAGCCTGGGAAGACTTTTTCCTTTTTCGTTTCATGTTCTTTCTTTGAGAAATGGAAAGGTGATGGGTTGGACCACAAATTGAAACCTAAAAGGACCAGAAAATTCTTCTATACGGAATTGACAATGTAAAAATTGACCTTATTAGTCTATAGCTCTGGAATGGGATTCTAGCTAAATGATAAATATTCACAGAGAAAATACACAACACCAAGGAAAGCTCAAATTCCATGGGCCTCAGGCATGTCTGATTTGAATCTTCAAGTCAAGGAATCAAGATCTGGGTCTCTAGGTCCACAGAAGCCGCTTTGGGGGCCATTTGTAAACAGGAAGCTGACCTGTATTCTGGGCTGGGGACCCTGTGATACATCCATCATGTCTTCAGGCTTAGTCTAGGGCCTTGCTTCTCCTCTACGGCTGGAATGCTAGCCAGATGGAAGCCGAGACTCCAGCCCAGCTAGTCTAATTGGAGGCCTGGAAGGTTGAAACCTCGCCCATAAAAACCTCTGCTTTAAATTAATGCCTAAAATTGAGAATTATTTTTAGTTCTCCACTTTAAAACATTGTTCTCGGTGTTTGTAAAATGAATTAAAACACCCGATTCGTGCCCACTTATCCGTATTCCTCTGGCTGTCAAGGAGGTAGACAATAATCAGTGTCTGTTATTCAATAGGTCTTTTGTCCTGTGCATCTAGTTAATTTGGATGTATTATATGTATGATTGTTTTTACTCCATTATACAGAAGCCAACAATCTTATTCTGAATTTCTCACCCTAGAGAGAGATTATGTCTTTAGTTTTCATACAGATGTCCTATTTTGGTTGCATTAGTATAAGATTCCAACATCACGTCTAGTAAAGCTTTAACTGATCTGTCGCTTTTGTAAGCACTGTGCTCTGGCTCTTACTGGCAGTCACAGCACGCTTGACTGACTAACAGACACACAGTGTTCCTCTGACCGCCTCATCTATTTCCTTATCGTTGCTGGCACACGGCATTGGCTGGACCCAGTCTCCCTTTGTCAGCGTTAATGAGGGCATGAATGCTTTGGGACACGCAAGGCTGCTCGCTTTTGAGTCTGCCCAGTTGTTAAAAATGTACTCAGTCCATTTCTCCGAACGGCGCCTGTTTCCTTGCTCCGTTCGGCCTCTGCTCCTTAGGCCTTCACCGCCATGCTTTCTGTGTTTAACCGCCCTCTTGACTTGCTCTCGGATTTTCAAGGATCTAGAGAGGAAATCCTGTGGTTGCATTTATTCCTGCCCATACCTTTCTAATAAATGTAAGTTATCAAAAATGTAAATTATCATACTATAGAAAGGGAAATACCCAAATGGACTGTGTTTTCAGCAAAGCTCCCTACCCCCATCGAAAACAGACACTAGCAAGCATTTCTGTTTTAAAAGGTAAATTTCGCAGTAAGTAGCAGACATAAATTAAGACTATTTCTGTATTTGGGGAGAGAAGGGGGCAGCAGCAGGCGAGGAATGGGGAAAGGGATGGCTGAAATGTGTTGTATACACACGAAGCTGTCACCATGCATGAAGCTAAGCTAGCTAACATAAGATTTAAAAAAAAAAAAAACTCTTCTAAGAATCCGATGTCTTTCTGGAACGTTCTGACACTAGACCTAATCTCACTAACACTTACATAAAGATTGCACTATCTACCCATTGTGTATCAGAAGAACCAGCATCCTCACTTCAAATGCTACCAACCTGTGGGTCCCGACCACTTCAGGTTAGAACGACTCTTTCACGGGGCTCACCTAAGCCCATCAGAAAACTCAGGTATTTATATTATAGCAGTAGCAAAATTACAGTTATGAAGTAGCAACAAAAACAATTTTTACGGTTTGGGGTACCACAACAAGAGGAACTGTGTTAAAGGGTCTCAGCCTGAGTAAGGTTGGGAACCTCTACCCTAGACTTTCACATATACACATGTAAGAATGATATGAATTGCTCAGAATTACAGAAATGTCCCTCAGTGACTGCATACGCCTACTGCGAATAAACCGTGGATCGGAGACAAAGAGAGCAAGCCAATGTCACCTAGCACGACTGAGAAGTGACATTCTATTCCGCACAAAGCCAGAGCTAGGATGCTAAGAGGTACTTGACAGGTTAATTTGTCTCGTCCCAGCCTTGGGCACTCCTCACACTCGATCCTTCTTACCTCCAGAGTGACGGCTCTCTCTGACATGGGCAGCTCACAGCCCATAATCTCTGAGGCCACTGCCGCGCGGCCCCTTTCTTGTGAAGACAGCAGCGTTAACACAAAGCCGGTGTTGATGAAGAGGTTATCTGTTGGAGTACGTGGACGTGGGCCGCAGGCTGGGTTTCAGAGACACGCGCTGTCCTCTCATACAGCGTGTCCTCGGGTGGTCTTTGCGTGGGCCCTATAAAGCATGCTACCCCCCTGCCCAGTTTTAGTGGCCTCCCTGAGCCTGTGAGAGGAAGCATTGGGAAGTAGCAAGGCTAGAATGACTTATGAGTGTTCCAATCTCAAGAGGGGACAGGCCTTTTCAGGTTCCTGCAATGGTTCCAGCACTTGGGTGTGTGTGGAGGGGGGAAGGGGAGGGTCCCTTTACATATCTGGAGAACTGGGCCATGACTTTCAAGTCCAGAAAATGAGCAGGGAGGGGGCTTCTGACTGGCATCTCCTTCCAGACCCCCAGTTCCTTTGGAGGAGCAGGAGGGCAGGAGACAGTTTCAGTAGCTGTCAAAATGTTCAACTTAGGCAGACTAGGGTGAGGCTGGAGTGTGAAGACACTGGAGGAAACGTGTTGGAAAGGACAGGACATTCCTTAGACTCATGTTATCCAACACAGCGATGACCTGCTGCATACATGTAATGAATCCCGGCCCTGGCCCTTTTCTCTTCCCCCTCACTGTACTTTGCTGATGTTTGTTTTGAAATATAAATACAGCTTCCCTATGTAGCCCAGGCTGGATTTAGTCTTATCCAGACCCTCCCGCCGCAGCCTCCTGAATGCTGGATTGTAAGCATGCCGCGTCATCCCTGCTTTCCTCCAGTCCTGGTAGTGCGGTGAGCTGGTCGGGTCGTCGTCCGCTGTTGATGCTTCCGGGACTTTAAAGGCAGGGACAGTACGCATTTCTGCACCTCAGCGCCTAGCAGTCTCTCAGAGATCACTCCCAGAATTCCTGGTAAAGAATATCTGCCTCCCTCAGCTGCAGCTTCCTAGCGGTCACCTTCGGCAGTGGTGTGGGGCGAGGTTTACAAGCTGGAAGAGCCTCCGGGGAGAACGGAATCTCTGGGACCTCTCCAGAGAGGTTCTTTCTTTTTTGTTCCACATTCACTCCCACCCCGTGAGCAACAAGACCTCTTCATTTGCTCAGTCCTCTAGTCTTTCTGCCTCCAGAAAACAGTCCTTGGAAGGTACTGTGTTCTAGGGGTCAGCTGGGCCAGTCCCACTCGTTGGCGCAGACTCTGAGGAGGCTATGGTCTCCCCCCTCAATTCTAAACATTCCGCAGAGAGCCACAGACTGGTAACCTTCGCCTTTTTGCCTGTGACTTAGCCCCAGCAGCGTCTGGATGGTGGGAAGCGGTTCTCCTGGCTTGGCTGCCAGTCCAGACGGAGACAGCAGAGGGCGCCCGCAGCCTGCTGTTAAGCCCGCGTGGGTGCAAATCCGGGAATCGGCTGTCCGGGAATTCAGTGGCTCTGCCCACACACAGGGTTCTGGCTCTGGGAAATTCAGATCTACTAAAGTGAATGCCCACCTTCTCCACCCACCCGCCCCTACACCCATGGCATCAGCTCTCCTTGGCTCCACTGTGATTTTCTTCCAAACTCACGACCTTTGTCGCTCTCTCTCTCACACACACACACACTCTGTTTCTGATAAACAGCTAGGAAGCCAATTTTAGGGGAACAAAGTCCATTTTTCATGGGTAAACGCAGTCAAATTAAGGGAACATGAACTTCGTTTCTAACTCTGTAGAATTCTTCCCTCCTATGAAACTCCATTACTTCCTGCCTGTTCATCTGTGGCCACACAGGAGTATTAGCGGGAGGGCTTTCAGGTGGGAAGTCAATGTCTCTAAGCAGCTTTTGGAAACAGGCTACTCACCTCGTTAGTGAGCTATCTAAAGATATCTGATTCAGCTCTTGTTTCTTTGAAACAGGGTCATGCCACGTAGTTCAGGCTGGCCTCAGGCTTGAAATCCTCCTGCCTCAGGCTACCACAGAGATGCTAAGGGTGGGGTGGGGTGTTATGGGGGAGTCATTTAGGTAAATCTAAAATCAATGCCCAGTCTTGAGTGTCTCCGCAACCCTCCCCAAGTGATATTTAGAGGTGTGGGTCCAAACAGAGCAAAAGTTCAAAAATCTGGGATTAACTGCGTTTTGTAAAATGTGAAGGAAAGGGGGAAGCAAGGTGACCCCAACTCATGCCCCAGTGAAGCCTGTGGGACCCCCGCTCCTTGCTGGTTCAGCCCACACAGAGGAACTGTTGGCATCCTGTGCTCACGTGACTCCACGGCTTTCCAGGCAGGGGCTAGGGGACTTCTTGCGATCAGAAGTAATGGTTCTTCTCCCTGGGAACTCCGAGGAAGTCTGCCGTGGGTCCCACACACACTTTGCCCGTTTATCCTCAGCATCACAGGGTCTCTGCCCCAGGTTTTCGGCGACACCACGAACCTCAGTAGCTTGCTGAAGTGGAGGAGAGATCTCACCCGTTGGTGCGTGTCAAGGGATTTCAGGTGTGTCTCTGCCTTGCCCCTCCCAACAGGAGGGCTAGGCAAAAGGAATGGAATGGGGGGGGGAGGAAGTAGTTGGGGGGGGCGAGGCGGGGGAGGGGCTTGAAGAAATGAGAGCACCTGGACTAAGTAGAAGCCTTGGAACCAGCTGATTGACACTGGGGGGGGAGGGGGAGGCATCCTGTTTGAAAACAGCGGACTAGCATCACACCTGTGTGGGCCCGTGGCGTAGCTAGCCAGCCCCAGGTCCTGTTCTCTGATCAGCTTCATACATTTCTTACGGAGATGCCCGGCGCACCTGGAGGGGTGACGGCCATCATGCTGACTAACCCGACGTTTAAAACCCTTCAACAGACGAAGACAGTCAGTGAAATCTGAGGAGACCAAAGTTCCCCGGGAGAAATGTCAAGTCTCCTTCCAACTCCAGGATAAACGCTTTGGGTGCCTGTGAACTCAGGCCAACGGGGTACACAGCAGCTGTGTCAGGCAGATGGAGAACAACACAGCAGCCCTGGGCCAGGGTGAGGATCACAGCAAGTCCACCACCAAGCAGCAACACTGTGCTCATGTTTGCCTTCGGCCCTTTGAACAGAATCCAGGCAAAAGGAACCAGAGACCAGAGGAGACGAGGAGCAGACAAGCGCCCGTGAGAAGCTGGAACACACTTAAGAGCACTGGAGGAAACGTGAAGGAGCGAGAAGTCACCTCTAAAGAGAAAGAGAAGGGTTTTCCTTGGGGGTCTCTGGGGCTCCGTAGCCTGGAGGCCCTATGAGTGCAGAGATTTAGGATACAACTGAACTGGGTACAAACTCAGCTGAGTAAGGGACCATCACCTTGACTTCTGAGTCCTAGCCTCCCAGGCAGGGAAAGCAGGGGTGTTCCGTGTTTGAGCTCCCAGAGGGTTTGCAGAGTGTCGGCCCCACAGGCCTTTGAGTGTGCTCCTGGTACTGCTGGAAGGAAGCTGGAGAGAGGCGGAGTTTGAATTAGTGTAGACTTTACAACACTGGGCAAGGAGTGCATTTGGGGCGGCATGTGACTTAGGGTACTGGGGTGTCTGTGATGCTGAGGGGTGACTCTTCCGTGTACTTCTCGCTGGCTAGACGGATTGCAGGCATTTGTTTTGGCCACTGGGGGGAGTTTAGGGTTAAGTTCTCCCTTCCTTTGAGAAAAGGAGAGCCATGCTTGATGAGAGTCCTTCCCACCTTTACTACAGAGAGTCCAAAAGGACACCTAAGTGCCAAAGCAGGCCAAGGTGAGATTGTCCCTAACCTGACGCAGTGGTCACCTGGTGAAGCTCAGCCTTCAACAGTACAGAAGCTATGGAGACAAAGGGGCTTAGACATTGTTAGAGTAGACAAGCATTCACACAGGAAGGGAATGTTCCTTCTGCCTCTGAACAACATGCTTCTCAGAGGGTCACAGTGACACCAGGAGGCACTCACTCACCAAGGCTCCCCCCCCCCTTCTTCCCCGGAACTCATTGTCTTTTGTCCTAGCTGAGGTTTCTCTCAGTTCTATTTCTGGTTGTTCCTTATGACTAGGCTAGTCCTCTGGCAAACTGAGGAGTTGGGTGCAGCTGGCACAGGGTACACAGGGGAGCTGGAGGTGGTTACAGTGACAGATCTCCCACACTGAGCAGCGTATGCTTGTGTGCATGAACACACATACACACGCACACACACAGAGTCTTCAGGCACAGCCAGGCTGCCTCAATACCACCAGGCTGCAGGCAGAGGGTGTCTCAGCTCTGCAAACTTGAATTCTGGTGCATGACTTCCCTGGCGACAGAAGTGTGGCTGTCATCATTGGTGCTGCGGAGGAGTTCAGGAGTGTGACTTCCCAGTGCCACCTCCCTCCAGGGCCCTCCTTCCTGCCCTCCAGGTTCATGCCCTTCTGCTATCCAGTAGGTGGCCTCATGGAGGTTGTAAGGTATCCTGATTTGGTTTCTCTGTTGCTATGATAAAAACAAAACCAAAAGCAACCTGGAAAGGAAAGGGTTTGTTTGGCTTACTCTTCCACATCACAGTCCATCACTGAGGGAAGCTAAGCAGGAAGTCAAGGCAGGAACTGAGCTGAGGTCATGGAGGGGTGCTGCTTTCTGGCTTGCTTCCCAAGGCTTCCTCAGCTTGCCTTTGGTGTTTAATTTTTGGTTTTTTGAGACAGGGTTTCTCTGTGTAATAGCCTTGACTTTCCTGGAACTCACTCACAGAAATGCACCTGCCTCTGCCTCCCAAGTGCTGGGAGGCACATGCACCACCACACCCAGCTCTCAGTTTGCTTTCTTTATATGCTCACCTGTCCAGGGGCAGCACTGCTCACAGTGGGCTGGGTCTTGCCCACATCACTAGTCAAGAAAATGCTCCATAGACATGATTAGAGGCCGATCTGATGGAGGCAATTCCTCAATTGAGGTTCCCTCTTCACAGGAGTCTTAGGGCTTCTATTGCTGCAACAAAAACCATGACCAAAAAGCAAGTTGGGGAGGAGATGGTTTATTCAGCTTACACTTCCATATCTCACTGCTCATCACCAAAGGAAGTCAGGACAGGAACTCAGAAAGGGCAGGAACCTGGAGGCAGGAGCTGATGCAGAGGCCATGGAAGGGTGCTGCTTACTGGCGTGCTTCATGTCTATTGTTCAGCCTGCTTTCTTATAGAACCCAGGACCACCAGCCCAAGGACGGTACCATCCACAATGGGCTGGATCCTCCCCCACCAGTCCTAATTAAGAAAATGCCTTAATGCTGGATCTTAGGGAGCTGTTTTCTCACTTGAGGTTCCTTCCTCTCAGGCGACTCTGGCTTGGGTCAAGTTGACATGAGATTATTCAGCACAACGGAGACTGTAGTTAGTGTCAGGCTGACAAGAGCTAAGCTGCACATAATGGTCCTCCAAATTCTAGCAAATTGCACTTTTACAAGTGAGGTGAAGGTGTTAAGAGCCGTCTTTCTTAGTCCCTGGCCTTGGCTGAGCAAGGTAAAGCTGGGGATTACATATCAGACCTTCTTGGGGTTTGCAATAATAAGGCAGCCGGCGAGATTCCTGGCTCAGTGGGAAAGGAGACTTGGACCGAATGCCAGTGGACTTATCCTCTGTCAGTCTCTTGTGACGGTTAACTACAGCATGGGAACCAGGCTGGTGAGAAGTCGGGGGAAGGGTGTGCGACACCTGAGCTCTAGCCACTGACCTCCATGAGTGAGGTAGGAAGAGGCCCCATCTGTCAGTCCTGAAACTCTAAAAGGTTTTGCCTTGGCCTCATGCTCGCACAGGGTGAGAGTCAGGGCCCTCCAGGGGAATTAGCATTTGCTGGGGCTTCTTATGACTCCAGCCAAAATGCCTGCTATTCTTATCCTGATGGACCAGTTAGAGTCGGAGAGAATGAAGCTGACCTCGGTGGGCACCTGGGGAGAAGGACAGGGCTGTGCTAAGGCATGGCTTATGTCTCCCCTGGCTTGAGAAGGTGCAGGCAATGGCACCCTGACAGCTCTCTACCTACTTGTCAAGAAGACTAGCCTTTTCCACCTAGCCAGTGGGAGCCTTGAGGACTGTGCTAAAAGCCCGGCCTCCCTGCTGGAAAGAACCCACGGAAGAACTTCAAGATTATGTGTGGGGGAAGGGGCGGTTAGGACTCCCACCTTCTCCTGCTCCCACCAAAATGTCAGGAATGCTATGGAAGCCGCGTTGAACTCTCCAAACCAGCCAGGTTGCATGCCAGTGACTGACAGTGATTGACAGCCGGCACGGGGTAGAAGAACCACCCAGCTGAGCCCTACCCAAATCTCTGACCCAACACATGCTCAATAAAATGGAAGGAGTTTAAAAGGGATTAGGATTATGAAATAGTTTACACTGTCCTGGGTAGCCAGACAGTGGCTGGAGGAAGAGGTCCCCATAGAAGCTCTGGCTTCCAGGTGCCCTTCTGTAGAGTATTGGCAGGCAGGTAGAAACAGCTGGGCTCCTGCTGGGGTTTGCACTTGAGAGCTGGGCTTGCTAGGTTTCTCTTGTTCTTGCTGTAACAAGCAGAATG